ATTTGTAGACCAAAATAAAAAGGCAATGTGGGAAATAAAAGGCAATGTGGTTTTTTTATAATTTTTTCAATATGCGTTTCTTTTATTATCATTAATATTATAATCTGCAATTATTCAAGGTAAGTATATATATATATATATTTATAAATTTATATCAATTAATTTTGTTTTCCATTAAACATTACTAGGAGCGAGAAATTACATGAATGTTTTTCTTTTTATAATTTTTTGTTTTGCCAGTAGAATGAAGACGGTATCATTGCATTTAGATTTTATATCGTTCGATATTCGACTATGTTCAGTAGTCAAACATCATAAAACACACTGTACCTATCAAGTAACAGTGCGATTTCAAATTAGAAACTAAATAGAAGAGACCGTTTGAACATGATAATTTTTCGCTGAAAGTAAATTATTATTTTTCCTCCGTTTTTCCCATAAATTGTTTCAATTTCATTAATTGTGTTCATTTTTTTTGTATTGATTTTTTCTGTTCTGCTATTTTTCTCTATAATATTATATATATATATATTTTTTTGTTTCATATTATTTTAATGCATAACTATCGAAAGGAAATCAGATCAACGGTGCTGCGAAATATTAGTATGTCTTGTGACGCCAAGAGACGTCACATCTGGTGTGAACACACTCAGATGAATACTCAATAGAAATCGATTTTCCCCGATATTACACCGTCATCATAAATCATAGTATTGTTTTTGTCAGTTTTTATGTTCATATTTTTTCCATTGTGAAATTTTTTGTTTCCATTATTAATGTAATTTAAGAGATCACATTTTTCTTTACACATAATATTATCATTTTTTTTTCTTTTAATTATTATTAATGTTTTCTTGAATTGTGTTTTCTTCCCTTTTCTTGTGTTGTTGTTGCTACTTTTGATGTTACTCTGATGACATTAAAATGGTTTTACTTTTCTCTTTTTCTTTTTTTGTGTTTTTTTTTTTAAATCAATTTTTTTTATATCGTTTTGTTTGTGTGTTATTTAAAAAAAAAGACAAATCTATACAAATACGTGAAAAAGATTACAAATATGATAGAGTAAATAAATTGGAATAAAACCGTAAATTAAAGTCAAAATCATAAAAAGACAAATTAAAAAGTTGTAAAAAAAAGTGCAAAATATTTTCAACGCCGCCGAAAAAAAAGGAAGAACACAAAGAAAACAACGAAAGCAAACTCAAAAAAATTACAAATTTATACACGGCAAAACACAAAAATGTAAACTAATATTAAAATCGATTAATATTTCATTTGTTATTTTGTCTTTTTTCTTCTTAACTTCTTTGTTTTTTTTTTTTGTTATGTACTTGACAGGTTTTTTGAAAAACACAATTAGTTCCTATCGATGGGCATGGAATCAATTTGATTCTTTATTCGATTCACTTATCTGTATGCACTATGCAAAATGCAAACATCCTATTGACTGAAAAGTGCGCGTCTTCTGCAGACGGCATTCTAAATGAGCAATTGGTACGCCCAGTGGGCGAAGTACAAATATGAAAATCTGATTCTCACACAATTGTCACTTCAATATATAGTTTGTTTTATACTCAGAAAATTGCAATCCATTTTTGACTCGGACTTCGGTTTTTTTTTATTCGTATTGATTCTGAAGGAGAGTTACATAAACAACAACAGAAATAAAAACAATGTAAAAGAAGCTCTTTTATCGTGTTTCTAAGGTACAGTTATGACAAACTTTATCGAATTCTATTTGAAAGGTTTGTTTGTTTCTCCTTTTAATTAATGTCTACGGCTATTTGCACATCACATGAAATTTACATTTACAATTTTTTTTCACTTATTTATTTGTTTATTTTTTTTAATGAATAGTCGTCGTCACCTTTGAATCGATACGAATCAATAATTGGAGTTGCGTTATTGAATAGAAAGTTTTCATCGAAAATTGTTCAAAAAGAACCTGAAAACTCTTCTTCTTCATCGTACTGTTTTAACCGAATGAAATGTTTGTCAGTCATATCAATTTGAATGGTTTCTATTATTTATTTTATTAGCTAGTGATGCTGTTGTTGTTTTTGTTGTTGTTGCTAGTGTTGCTACTGTTTTGCACTTTATACTTTGACTCAAATTATTTTGCATAAGTTTTACTATTGTTTCGTATGCTATGTAGTTCATTTTATCGTTGACTTAGTTCATACTTGTTCGTTATGGGTGGAACAGCTATGAACATTCAAACAAATATCAATAATAATTTTTTGATCGTTTTAGATATACACTGATACATCTACAACATTTATATGATTCTACTTTATACAAATGTCGAAGAACATCACAAATCGATTAAGTGAATAGATTTTCCGTTTGTTTTTTTTTTGTTCAAACAATTCGACCTAAAAAGTAATGGAGCTGATTTTTTGTCACTTCATCAATATAGTTTGTTTTTGTATAGTTTTTTTTGTCACATTGAAATGTCGTTGGTTTTTTTCATCTAGGGCCAATTAATCACCGGTTTTTCTTTGCAATCATACATGAGGCACACACACAATCTAAGTATCGTTATTCATTTACCACATGGAATAACCACAACAATGGATACATAATGGTAAATGAATGAGGATACTAATTATCCAAAAAGGCCATTTTCCAAACCCCCTAGTAACCAAAACTAAATAAAAAAAACATATACACATCGATTTGTCAAAAACTTGCTCACGATTCAAGCAAACAATGTTCAACGTATTTGTATAAATAAATCTGCGCTCTAATTGCATTTGTCATTAAAATCTTCAATGTATGCGTGTTCTATATATGAATGCGTGTGTGAACGTATGTCTTCATAATTTCAACTAAATTTATGCCTGAAACAGATTTTAGTCTGGGAATAACAAACGTTATCACTAATGCAATTGGATTTTTTTTTATCTTGAGAATGTGAATGGAATAGGACTAAATGTACAATATTCATAATAACTTTTAATTTCTTTTTATACATTTTTTTAACTTTCCCATGTCGTTCAAAATTCATTAATCAAATTCTTTTCTCTTTTTTTTACATTTTGTATGGATTTTCAAATTGTATTTTCAGTTCAATCTTTTTTTTTATTTGAATTTTCAATTTTTGGTTCAAAATATATAAAAATGCGAAATAGACAAAATTTAGTACAAAAAAGGTAGCGTGCATTTATTATTTCATTATATATTTTTCTTTTAAATATTATTATTTCATTTTTAAATGTGAAAATTGCACGCTCGACATGCCAAATTAAATGAATGCTATTCAGTTATGAAATTACAAATTGAATGGACAGAATTAAGAGAGGAAAACTATACAATCACAATTTGAAAATTAAAATTGACTCATTCAATATACATTTCAATATATATTTTGTTGTTTAATAGACTGGATAAGCAATGCTCATTGGATGTGGTTGTTTTGTTTGTTTTTATTTCGATAATCTTTCTATCTTTATTGAAATATGTACGAATTTGTCTGTGTACGCTTCATTTATATTATGTCACAATTGCTAGTTGGTTTGGGGTTGAATATGCATGATTTTTTTAAATGAGTTTTTCTTGTTAAATTTTCTAGAAAAAAAGAAAAAAAAAATCAAAAACAAAAAGCCATACACATAATGAAATATACATATATCCAAAGAGCCAAATGATATTGTGCACGTTTTCGAGTTCATTTTCAACAATTTTACCAACGAAGTAATAGTATACAAATCGAAACTAAAAGACAAATATTTGGTTAAAATTGATTTTTTTTTCTATTTATGTTATTAAAGTGAAGAAATATATTCAAAGTATATGTTTATCCTTATTTGAAGTGGGATTTTATGTCGTTGAAAATTAGTTAATTTAATTCAATATACAATTTATGACAATCACAGGTATTTATTTAAAAAAAAAAAAAATTAAAATGAATTTCATTTCTCCTAATTAACAGAATGCAAACACTTTAGTGATTTAACTTTTTTCTGTTTCATTTTTAATCAATACAGTGCTTATAGTTTTTGTTTTATTCGTTCTTTTAGTTTTTGAAATACTTAAATTACGTTGGTTTTCTAATGAAATTTTCTCACATTTTGCTACAAAGATATATAGAACTATGTCGTTACAATTTAGATTATGATCAAAAAGAGAACGATGACAAATAGAGAGAGTGTGTGTGTGTGTGTGTGTGTGTGAGAAAGAGTGAGGGTTTTGGTTTCAATACAATTACTTTTGGTTAATGTTATGAAAGTGCATTTTAATATATTTCGTATAGGAATTTGTTGATGTTTTTAAATATGAAAGATTTTGTTGTTGGTTTGCATAAAAATGTTGTTTTTTTCGTAAATTTATTTATTGTTTTTAATTTCCAGTAAGCGTGTATCTAAGCGACGTGTCGATGGATAATTTTTGACTTTGGTCGAACACACACACGTTGTTAATACTGAAAATACCCAAAGAAAAATCACGCAAACCGTTTTTTTTTCTAATGTAATGTCCGGGATGCGAGAATATTCTTGCTATAGTTTACATTAAAATGCATACGGTTGCATGTTATTATTTATGAGAATCTAACAATGCAAAAAAAAAAACGATTTAAAACATTTCATTATGGCCACATGTATTTGTGTGCTCGTTGTCACACCATCGAAAAGAAAAAAACAAATTTGAAAAAAAAAGTGGAATTAATTTTCGTACATTTCGTGCATGAAATTCTTTTTGTTCTAGAGTCACGGGAAAAATTGACATAATTTAATGAGAAAAAAAGGGAACAGCTGATTAGTTCAAAGCCTTAATGTAAAGCCAGTGATGATGAGCTGTTTATTTGATTTCAATTAGGATTATTATGGGGTGTTTGTGTATGTTTGAGTGTGAGTCGTTGGCTATAAAATTCACGAAATCCCTAATTAATTACATTGATTTGCATGCTGCTAATTTAATCTATTTGATTTTTAATTTTAACTTGTTTTTGTATGATTATTATTTCGACCTATATTTCACTGTATTATTATTTGACTCTATTATTTTTTTTTTTTCAAGAAATTTTACTCCGTATTATGCTCGATGCGGACATCAGAATCGACCGACAATATGAGAGTTAATTACTTTGGACACACACACACAGAAAAGTTGTATCGTATGATTGTGCTTTATCAATTATTTTATTCGCAACATTAACGATGGTTCGTCGTTTGGAATGGAAATCTCATTCAGAATATAAATGGTTTTATATCAAAAGAGATTTTCTGTCGGGGTTAACTTCTTTTTTTTGAATATTTTCTGCGCTATCTTTTCCTTGTCTATTTACATGGTTCGCTTATTTGAGTTTTATTCATAGTTTTAAATGTTGTAACGACTTTAGATTATAATTTTTTTTGATTTGCTATTTCAAATTTTCTTAATTTTTTTCTGTTCGTCTGTTTTATTATGTTATAGTATGATGTAGTTTTCGTTATCGAAGCATGTTTCTGATTGAGTTTTTTTTGTTAATTGGTGAAAAAATTCAAATTGAATTGTCACAAACGTACTTGGGGGTCTTTGTTCAAATATATATTGAAATTGGATTCAATATATTGAACAAAATCATCGCGCGAGTGTTTGAAATTCGTGGTCGGGATGAGAGTGATGGGTTGTATGCTGAGCGGCTTCAAAAAACAATGGGTTATTTATTATTTTCTTTTGTCGGTAATTTATTTTTTGTTCTGCTTAAAAATTGTGTATTACATTTCTGGTTTTAAAAGTTTCCGGTTCGTTTTTTTTATTTGCAATGATACTAAAGACATGTAAATGGCTACTTTCCAATAATATTTGTTTCTTTGTTCTGCTATAAAGTTTATTCAATACGTTTTGGTGTTATTCCAAAGAGAAATTTGTCATTTTGTGCAATTGTGGTTTGTTTTTATAGTTTATCTTAAATCTGAACATGCGAAAGTACGTCCCTCATACAATTTAAAATGAATCATTTTCAATTTCAGCCTGAAATTCAACAATTTAATTGAGTCCTGTCGGCCCATTCCGTACATCCTATATTTCTTTGTAAATTCTGTTTTGTATCATTGCACCAACGCGAGCGTTGTTTAAGTTCTTTTAAATCATATACTCTTTTTATATATGTTCCATTGTCAATTTGTTTTTTCTCTTTTTTTTTACGTTACTCTCCAACTCATTCAAATGTTGTTGGGGATTTTTTTTTAAATAAACATTTCATCGGTTTTAATAAATTTTACCATTTTTTTTCTCCTATTTCTCATTTCCTATTATTTTTCTTTTTTACAAGATAAAAATAATAAATAAAATATTTAAATATTAGTTACATTTCTTTCGACTTGGATTCAAGTAGCCTTGAAGATGTTTTGATACTCAAAATTATGTTTGCTATTTTTTTGTTGTTGTTATTGGTGTCGCCGCTTCTGCAGCCACTGCGACTCCGGCTATGTGAGTCTTTGTCACAAATTACTTTTTCCATGCGATGTATTTTCGGGTTTTACTTTCGTTATTCTTTGCTTCCTTTTTTAGCGGATTTTGAAAAAAAAATATGTTGAAATTGTTGTTTGTAGTGCGATTTGGATATGTTGATCACGTTTTTTTTTTGTTGTTGATGAATTTCGCTGAATCGCACATGGTCCGTATATCGTTCGTTGAAAGATCAATTTATCCGCACAACACCTGAAATTCCATTAAAAAAAACAATCAATATAATTTATAGTTTAGAACTGTCAGAACAAAACAGCCAATAACTGTTTTGAATCTATACATATATGTGAGATTTTTAATTACAAAGTGCAACGAAAAATTGCTTAACCGCATGTCACTCAACTCAACAATGTGGTGGCAAATGCTTTATTAGGAAAATTGCACGAAACAGGTAAAATCGATTTTGTTCATTTACCATATACAGACTACGTTATAGTCAGTGCACACAAACGATTGAAGCAAAAGCAAAACATCGTTCAATATATATGCATATATTCATTTTGGCCACTACAAATGTAGCATAAACATTTATGGTGAACCGAAGTAATAAAGGCTCTGCAGTTGCATCGTAGAATGTAGTAGAGACAAACGTACAAGACAGTATTCGCCTTTGCAAATTCACTCAAATGGAAGTTGGCAACATAGTAGACAATATGTTTTTGTCGTCGTCTTGTTGTTAGTAAGTACGTTATAAAAGTTGAAAGAGACTAAAATGTTTTGAATTGTTGAGACTTTATGTATGTCATCGAGCGTTGACATCAAAGCTCATAAATATGGAAACTGAGGCGTTCGCATGCATTTACAAAATAAAATCAACACCCGTTAAACATTGGAGAAATCATATATGCTGCACGCGCTGAAGTACAATCACACGGGACCAAGTGTATGTGTATAATTACAAATCTGAATGGAAAAAAAAATTGATTGTTTGTTAAGATATAGCTGGTGGGCCGATAATAATAAGTTTGCTTGTGCATGAGACAACTTTGAAATAAAAAATAAATAAATACATTTTTTTATTGCCATTATAATGAATAAATTATTGCACTAACGGCTAAAGTCGATTGAAGTGTCGAAGTGACGGTTTTCACTGGCGCACACCCGAAATCATCGTCAACATCAAACTTGATCAAAAATGGGAAAAATATGGTTACGACCAAACGATATTATGAAATGCAATTGAAAATAAAATGCACAAAACCGCATTACAAATCAATGAGATTTGAAAACGACGGTGATGACGGTCAAAACCAATGTAGACAATAAGTACCGATGACACATACAATATTTTCAACAGCAATCCAAAAATAACAATCAACTGTCCGCGTGTGCTATAGCACGCTTGTGATGTTTTTCAAAAAAACAGGCACCAAATTTTAAAATGGATTTTGAAGCTTGTATGTTTTTGTTGTCTAATTATGGCTGACGTTTTTTTTCTTGTGGTTTCTTTACATTTGAAATGTTCATAATTTAACCCTGTCACTTTTTTTAAATCTTACATTTGTGCCATATGGATACACAACAGAAATCGAGATAGCACAAGAGAGAGGAGAACAAATCATGTTTGTGCATGCTCTTGGCATGAAGGAATGGCGAACATATTGCGTATAGACATGTAAATATGTCGATCACAAATTGAAATGGTCAAAATTAAAACGAATGAACAATAAAAAAAATCAAGTGGGTTTTATAAGCTGCTTTCGCGACTTAACAGCGAAAAAAAAAATCAGTGAATGTAAATAGAGGAAAGTAGACAACTGATTGGGAAGGAAAATATTATAATTTTATGCACAAAGTTGAAATGATTCATGCAAGTTGAGTCGCAAAGGCGGAAAAGACTTCCGTGAAACCGGTAAACATTGCACACTTATACATGTAGATGCAAATTATACATATTGCATGCACCGAAAACTCCAATACCGAAACATGGCTATAAATCTATTATCACCCATTTCTATCTTTGTTATTTAGCACTGAAATGTTTCACGACTTGATTTCTTTGCGTTGGTATGGTCGCATCGATCGATCTACACACAAAACGGTTTATTCGTATGCATCTTAACCTGATGAATTTGTTTTTTCCGTAAATAATCGTTTGTAATTGGCAGCTGCAGCAACAACATTTAGATGAAGAAAAATGTGTCATTTCACGTTTCACGTTAATGCCTCTCACGATGTTGTATTATAAACTATATTTATAATAAATGAGCTTGGCGACTGACGTTCAAATTATTTCCTACTCTTAATTTAGTTCTGGTGTTTATGTGTTTGCTCTCCCCTTGCAATTGTCACATTTCGCATCGGAATTGAATTCATTTTCAGGAAATAATATTTTACCGATGTCAACGCCAATGCATTTGATTTGTAAAATGGTAGCGAAAATTTGAAGCGGCAATCTCTTAGTGCAGATTTCAAATTCAGTTTGAATATCATTTTGTGTGTGTGTTGAAATTTAGATCATTCAAAAACTATCTATCGCTGATATCTTAGAAGAACTCAGAAAATCACCAAGCGAAAAAAGAAGGTTTCGAAATGATGTCGATTCATTGAAATCATTTTGCATTTTATTGAATGTTTTTTTTTTCGTTTCGGTTTTTTCGTAATGCCGATGTATTTTTTCCACTGTAAGTATTATGGCGTATTCATCGCATATGTTGTGCGTACTTTTTATTCACGCCACTTGCCAACATCGTTTATAACATCAAAAAATGGTATAAAAACTAGCGGAAATTTGAATATAAAACAATTTAGCGAACCCAACAAAGGCAAAATGAATGAAACACACGATAAATAAAACAACAAGGCAAAAGAAAAAGAAGAAAAATCAACCGATTAAAAAAAATGATTTTAATCGATTCAATCCATCAATTGATATGCGATATTGCTTTTGCAGTCACTTGTTTGAAAACGTTCACATGAGGTGAATGTATGAATATTAGGCCAAAGTATACACACACAATGCGTTGCGATGTAGTTTTTTTTAGTTTGTTTCTTCGCGTTTTTGTAGTTGTTGCTGATGTGGTTGTTGCGTTTAGTTTCTAATTTCAACGGGGTCGTTCATTGATTTCAACAATAAATTCGTTAGTAATTTGTGCTGCAGCATCTATGTGTATGGTGCGCGCGCGCTAACTCTACAATAACAGCAATGAACAATAAAATGTGTAAATTTGTGTTTAATGCCAACTTGAAAAAGTATTGTGTATCACATTGTACGTTGGGCGCGATTGTATTCGTAAAAGTGGAATCGGTTTTTTTTGTGTGTTGTTTGGCTGAGAGTTCAATAGCCACGCTGTCGTTGCGAAAAAAAACTAGCAAAACTATCAATTACTCAAGCCCACAGACTGTGTATACAGATATGTAGATGTATACGAAAAGCCAACAAATTCAATATTACAAGCAATTAGATTTTAACACATTCACAAAATCGCATAGTAAACCCAAACATGCGAACTAAACGTTGTGCATTCAACGCTTTTTAACGAAACAAATGCAAAGAAAATGTTTATATGGTAAATTGTACGGCGCGGCATTTGGACTGAATGCACACATTGGATATGTGATTGTCGACTGACAGCATATGACTTGAGCAATTGAAGAGTGCGATGTTCAAATCATGCTTTTATGTCCAAGCCGCACCATGACGGTCGCGTAACAGTCTCTCAAAATAAACGTTTTATTCGAATACAAAATTGGCATATGAAAGAGGCGTTGTTTATTTTTCTCTGCATCTCTTCGCGAAGTCAACACTTACGACGATGGTTTTTTTTTAGTTGTGATGTCAACATGAATGTAATTTTGCTCGTTTTTTTTTCTATCTTCTTTCGCTCTCAGCGTTGCACTTCGAACAAAAACGAAAAATATTGTGTAATATTTGCTCTGAAAAAAAAAAAATTGCGAATAAAACGCGAAATATTGGCGAGTCAGAGATCCAATATGAATAGGATAACGAGTAATAAAAACTATTCAGTTTGAATTCGCTTAATTTTTTGGTATTGCATAAGCTACAAAATCACCACGGCACTGAAGTGAATCACACTGAGTAACAACAACAACACAATACCATATGTACAAAAACAAAACGAACTCACAATGTGTGTGGCGACGAAAAATAGTAACGTAATAAACTTCATTCGCATCTCGATAAAAAAAAACACTACCAGAAAAACGTAAATTGTTTGAAAACATAATTCCACCAAAATTATCGATTAAATAATAAGGAGTCAATTTCATTGACATTTCTTGCAAACGGTAGATTGGATTGACATTGTCACATTGGTCATTTCGTGAACTATGACTAATCGATCTACGTTGATTTCATCACGGCTATTCGTTAGTCATTAGATATTTACGATTTGATAATTTCAACATATGGATGACTCAATCTATTGCTTTTTTAATGTCAAAGTGTTTTCGAATATTTTAATTGACTTTGAATTTTAGATCAACGTCTTTTTTTTTAATTTCAAAGCTAGTTTAAGCCAGAATTTGCTGACAAAATCTGTCATTTCATTAGAATCAAACATATCATTTTAAATACATAGGTGATTTCGTTGAAATTGAAGGTTTTTTCATCAGTAAATATGAGAAGTACAGTGAACTAAACAATTACAGCAGATTTAAAATAAATATTTGAGATTAGATTTAAATCACGGTCAATAGATGTTTTTTTTCGAGCACATTCAAATATTGTCAACAAAAAAAACCTTTTTTACTTCAATTCATAGAAGAAAAAATACGATGGCGTGGACATACTATTTAAACAGACGTGATCTTTTCTCCATACCCTTCTGTTTGAAGTATTTCTTTCAGCTGTTATAATTCTTCGAAAATGAGTTAATTAATAACTGAAAAATTCATAAAGAGCTCAGAAGGTGACACAAATCATAGTGGGGCTAACCCATAGTTTCGGAGCTCCGCGGGAGAAAAAAATAATCTAGTTTATATAATACAATACGGTCGTAAAAGCAATCTAGTTTATACAATGAAAAAAGTATGTATGACTGGCATCTTGTCAGCTGATGACAAAAACTTCACATTCCAAGCCATATACGTGTGCCTTCATATGGAATATTCTGTATAATGAACGTTCGAATTTTTATATATATTTTTTTTTGTTTTAATTTTTCATTTGTGGTTTGTTTTGTTTGGTTTTGAAGAAAGAATATATTCTTTTCGATTGAAACAATAATTTC